CACTGTGGAAATCAGTATGGAGATACCTCAAAGAACTAGGACTAGAGGTCCCATTTGACCCAGCTATTCCTCTGCTGGGTATCTTCCCCAAAGAATTAAAAGAATTATACCACAGTGATATATGCTCACCCATGTTTATAGTGGCACAGTTTGTAATAGTTAAGGCTTGGAAACAGCCCAAGTGCCCATCAACTGGAGACTGGATAAAGAAGATGTGGTTTTTTTAATAAAATGGAATACTACTCAGCCATAAAGAATGAGAAACTAGAGACATTCATGGCTAAGTGGATGCACATTCAGGCCATACTCTTAAGTGAAATAAACAGGACACACATGTAAATACCAAATAGTTTCTCTGTTGTAAAAAACTAAAAGTGGAAATAAGGATCCAAGTGTATAATTGTTATTGTGAAATAGGAAGAAAAGTTCTAAAAGGGTAGGGGAAATGGGAGGGGTAGGGGAAAGAAAAGAAGGGAAAAGAAAAAATACGAGAAAAGGAAAATATGGAAACAAAGTCTTTGTAAATAGGGAAGGGTGGAGGGGGTGGAGGGAGGTCAGGGGAATGGGGAAAAAATAAGAACCAAGATACTCATATAAAGGTACAAGATCCCAATGATGAATGTAACTGTATTGTATACCTAAAATGTACCAATAAACTTAATGAAAAACAAAACAAAACAAAAAAAGAATCACGATACATTATGTAAAGGTACAAATTTCCAATGATGAATGCCATTATATTATATACCTAAAATATAGCAATAAAATTAATTTTGAAAAAAAGAAAAGACCGAATATGCCGGGGAGTTAGCTCAGTGGCGCCACCGTCTGCCTTTCGAGGGCAAGGTCCAGAGTTGGATCCCCAGAACCACCCCCCCACCCCCACCCCCGCCAAAAGACTGAATATATCAAGTATTGGCAGCTGGGTGGAGAAAACGGAACCGACACTCACTGTTGGAATAAAACTTGGTACAAGCCACTATGGAAAACAATATGGAAATGCCTCAAAGACAAAACACAACTATCATATGATCTAGCGACCATATACAGATACATCTAAAGAGAACAAAATCAGGATGTCAAAGAGATATCTGCATTTCCATTGCAGTGAAGCATTATTCACAATAGCCAAGATATAGAAACAACTTAATTGTCCATCAACAGGTGAATATATAAAGAAAATGTGGTATATATACACAATGGAATCCTACTTAGCTTTAATAAAGAGGAAATTCCTGTCGTGCGTAACAACATAAATGAATCTGGAGTACTTTAAGTAACTGCAAACATGTACTAATAAAAATAAATAAATTTTAAAAATCAAGGCATATAAAGATAAATACCAAATCATCTCATATATATGGAGAATCTAATAAAATTCAATTCATAGAAGTCAAGAATAACTGATGTTTACCAGAGGCTGAGGAGCTGGGTGGGGGTATGGAGAGACAAAAGGGGGAATTGTTGATCAAAAGGCACAAAGTTTAAATAAAGAGGAGGAATAGCTTTAAGATTAACTTCACAGTCACTATAGTTGATAATAATGTACTATATATGTTACATATTTTTAAACTAAGAGTAAATTTCAAACATAATTGTGAGTAAGCAGACTTTTTTTGTAAAACTGTTTAATGATATACTATATTTAAATATATATGCTTTGATTTGCTATTTCTGCTTCTAGACATTAAGAATATAATTCAACAAGAGCTGCAGAAACAATAAACTTCAAACTGTGTTAGACAAACTCCAATGTCTTGATTTACAGGCAATCTAGTGACATATAGAAAAGCAATGTCAGGGTTCCAAAATTAACATGTGAAACTAAGAAGAAACTTAGTAGGGGACAGTCAAGGTAATAAACAAGGAAATGTTTGAAATGTTAAGTCATTTTAACTTTAGTTATTTAAACCCAAGAAGCAATTATAAGTGATAACAAAGGTAAGATGGGATATTTACCTTACTATACATACATATACATAAACAAACAAACAAAGTGAGCCAAAACGAAATCTGTTAAGTCTTGAAGTCCTCATTCTTACAGGAAGAACTTATATCTGACACATGAAGCATGCATTAGGTTACCCTGAGAACGAGGGTGGTCAAACATTCCTCAACCTTGCCTAGGTCGAAGGTTAAAAATTTTCAACATTTCACAAACATGGAAAAAATAGAAAGACATCTCATAAAACATGGGTTACTAAAATGGCAGGTTTTACCTATTAAATATTGTATGTGATATTAAATATTTCTTAAATATAAGCATATTTTCATCCTTGACCAACAGAGATAGCCACCATTCTCTCTGTCTTGCTACTGACATTCAGAAAAAGGCCATGATGAAAATGAAATACTTTTAGTACAATTTGCAAGAATCTTGGGAGCCTGGTGTGGTTACTATTGCACAGTGGAGAAAGAAAACATTTTAATTTAGTTTTCTCTAATTCATATAATGTCACTATAAAATGAATGGAAAAGCAACATTTGAATAATACTGTGATCTCATTTCAACAAAGCTAAGGAAATTATGTAAATACTGGCATACCATTATGGTGAGATACTATGTCAAATAGAGTCACTTAATCAGAACCTATAGAAAAATTAATTTTGAGGTTCCCTCATTTTGGGGGTCAGATGCCCTAATATTAGTGTTATTTGAATTTTTCTAAAGGAAGTGAGTTCTTCTAGTGTTCTAAAATTGCATGTAGAGTAGGATGATAGTCATGTGGCTCAAATTCATGGAATCGTATCCTAAAAAGTTTGTTCTATAACATGTTCTTGTATCTCAAGAGAGCTAGTTTCCCAATGCACCCTCTACTGGTGAGCTGGGGTTCATCAGGCAGCTAACTTGGAAACTGTCTTTCGCAACATCAGAAAAGGAGCAGGCACCTAGGAGGTGGGTTTGTCAGAGCCCCATTTAATAGCATGGGCTTGAACACTGTCAACCATGACCAAATTATCTTGCCTGACTCTTTTCCCCTTAAAAAGAAAATAAGAGCAAAAGTAAACATATTAATTTGGGAAAATTTCCATGTAAAACATTTTTTTCCCAAGTCTACTTCTTTTCCTAAAATGACTATTATTCAGTAGCTAGAAAATCTGATACCTGCATAAAGTTCATTTAGTGAAGTTAGTGAAATGCCAGTCACATTTGGGGTTGCAAAGAATCAAACCAAACCAGGACAACAAAGCAAAAGAGCAAACTAAACATATTTCACATAGGGAAGAGAAAACAAAAACAATAAGTGTATGTGAAAGGGTATGATGTTTTATAAGCCACTTTATCATGATTTTAAACTATTCCTAGCATATTTCATATTAGTGTGCAATTCAGTAAATGTGAGCATGCACATTCTACTAGAAGGCAATATAACTTTATAGTTCATATAACAAGAGAAAATACAATACTAGAACATGACAGGATAAAGTTATCTTTCTGATTATGAGATTTGTCTCAATTATTTCCTCCTAGGCATTTCCTCCTTAAATGTTCTTATTTAACAGGTAACAGGTTCCTATTTAACAGGTAATACCTGTGGAATTGTTACTGATTTTAGCAGAATTTCTACTCTTCTTTGTAAAAACTAAAATGGTGAAGTTAAGGTAGTAACAAGGAAAGGAATTTTGATTAAAGCCAAACCCTCACTTTATATTGGAAATATGCTTTAATTCTATAAAATATTAATTCATACATATTTCCTAAATAATACTGAGTTTTAACATGATGGAGGGAATCCAATTTTTTAAAAAGTTATACTATCGAAGCTTTTAAATATTAAAAAAATAGAATGGAAAAACAAACTTCCACATGCGACTGTCTATTGATCCAACAACTTCAATAACATACCACACATGTTTTATCTATCTATATATGTGTTTATTGCTCTAGATTCCATGCATTCTACTCGTACACATTTTAGTAGGTATCTTTAAAAAGTATAAATTTGGTGGGTACAAAACTTTCCTTTAGTTTGAAATAAACTAATAATAAATAGAAATGCAAAGAAAAATGTATCTCTCCTGCTATCGTGCTATAAAAAACATAAATTTTAAGATTTAATTAAAATTTACAGAGGATAAAATACTGAAATTACTAAATTCCTTTCCATTCAAATATATTTGACTCTATTCTTTCTAATATAAATTACTATTCAAAAGTATGGGTAAAACTAAAAATTTTAATAATGAATAGAAAGCAAATGGCAAATTTATTTTAAGTCATATGCTGCAATAAAACATTTATATGTTTCTAATTAATAAAGCAAGTGCATAACTTTTTGGAATTTGAAATACAATCTGCCACCTAAATGTTCCAGTTCTTCACTATAAAAGTGAGTTGGGCAAGCTTAAATATTGGAAAATATTTAAAATTTCAAAGTATTATAGTGTTTAATTCAACTTTTACATATGTTACATATTACCAGCAAAGTACACGTATTGGAGTATCATTTTAACATATGAGCACTTCCACTAATATAAGCTAATATTATCTGTCATTGTAAAATTTAAATAACATTCATAACATTGGTTCTACAGCATTATGAAACTTTCACATAAAAATATAAGGAATTTAAAATTTGCAGGCTAGGGATTTAGCTCAGTGGCACCATGCCTGCCTTGCAAACGCAAAAAAAAAAAAAATACATAAGCATTAATACAAATGGTAAATTACCACATTAGTGTATCAATACAATATATTACTATTTTAGCTGTATTTTGACTTTTCTTCTTTTTTCACTAAGGAGTTCAGATTGGTCTTGAACTCACTGTGTAACCCAGGCTGAATTCAAACACATGGTGATCCTCCTGCCTCAGCTTCCTGAGTGCTGGGATTATAGGCATCCCCCACTGCACCCGGCTATATATTTTGACCTTTATTCATATATTTTGCACATATTTTTCATCTGCATATTTTATGGCTCATTGAGGATTAAAAGTGCATTTTGAATACAATGTTTTATCTTTACTTATCCCTTTTTGTATCCATTATCAAACCATACCTTCAGAGTGACCATCTCTTATGGGACGTGACTTCTTTGGTGATTTTGTAAGAGAAACTTTATTTTCACTGTTTTTGAATAACGCTAGACGCACAGTAGGATCTAGATAAAAAGAGAAAAACAAAAGTGACGATCAACTCCGGGTCACTCTTTTTGATCTGACCATAAATCTATTTTATGGTGGTATTAAAATATACTTTTTTAGAGCTCTCTAAAATTGATGATGTTATTTCAAATTTCATAATATCAAAAGATAATAAGTCATGCATATATTCCTGATTATAAGATTAAAAAAATAGCCAGTACTGAGTATAAATGAAAGAAATACTAGTAAATGTTTTTAAAATTGTATATCAACTTTCCAGTTATGACATTCATTTGTGAAGATGTTTTACTGTTTATTATCTTAGCTCCCTTCTTAAATTCCTGATTTTTTTTGGAATAAGCAAAATTTCAATAAATATATAACTAGGTGAAAGATATTATAGGAAAAAACCATATAACTACTTTTTCCTCTCTAAACTACAGAGTATGAGAATACAGGAGATGGAAGCAAGAAAATGAATGGAATACGAGAAAAATAGAAAAAGATTATTTTCATTCACTTATCACATGAAATAATTGTTTTTCTTCTGCCTAAATATATTATATTTACATGACAAAGATGAACACATTATCTACAATTTGTAAAGCCAGGAACACTTTAAATCAATTATTTTGACAAAATAAATAAGATGACTCTGAATATGAAGCACTATAATTTTTTATTTGTAATGAATAGTTCCATGGAATGTGAAAAATTTGGATTTTGTGCTGCTGCATTAAGTTTTTGGTCAAGAACTGTAAGAGAAGAAGGTAGTGATGTAATTACCAGGGAGTAAAATAAAGAGTGGAAAGGTATGCATTAATAGGATAACATAAAACAACAATTCAGAGTAGCACAGATTTTCTTATTATCTTATGTCATCTGGCAAAGAGTAAGAGAATATATGAATCTTTGATGAATATCTGGAGTAATTGAATTGAATATGCTAAATGGAAAGACAAGATTTTAAATTATAGATACTATATATTTTATTTAAATTGTATCATATTTTAACGAATATTGTATCAGAGAAGAAAAATGAATAGTATTTGCAGTTATTCTCCAGAATAAGCAAACTAATAATTTGCACTAGTCATTAGAAATAATTTATCCTTCCTAAGTATTTTATGTGTTTCACAGATATTATATTTCTCAAGATTAGGGAAAATATCAGTCAATGTTTGGATACATTCATATATACATATAATCTAAGGTGTTACCATAATTTGGATGTTTCTACATTAATTCAATATGAACTAATAATAAGAATAATAAAACTTGGTATATATATTTCATAAAATAAGTTTTATATATCACCTAAATCACTTACCAGAAATATTGGTATGTTCAGAAGAAGTATCAATCAAGGAATATGAATTTCTATGGGATTACAGTAACTTATAACTTGCTGTGATATCTTAACATCTTGCTACTCTTTTGCTCTGGATTTTTTTTACAGCTGTATACTTTTTGAGCAAAAATAATACAATTGAACAGAACTCGGCTAGATTCTTATTTCCTTTTTTATCATTTGTTTAACTTTGAAAAAAGTACTCTCCCTCTTTGCCTTCTCCTCTGTCCATCAGAAATTACACTGACTTTGAAGTATTACTGTGGAAATTAGTGAAACAATGTGTAAAGCATCAAATCTCTTGGCCATATAAGTGATGGTGCTCAAAAATAGTATTTAATAGACATACAATTATATAATAAACAATGATAATATTTCCAACTTATATTATTGGACAATATCTTACATCTTTTTATAAAGTAAGGTAGATATATAAGACATAGATGGATCTTACTTTTAATTTAATTGCCTTGCTTTTAATCAATATACCATCCTGAAATAAAGCTAGGGGTCTTTTTTAAATTCTTTGGTTCTTCCTTGGGCAAATAACCATGTCGCAATGACTTTACTTCCTAACATGTAAAATAGCAATAAAAAATAGCATTTTCCTCATAGTATTATCAAGATCAAATAATTTAATACATATAAAATATTTACAAGAGTTGTCTAGCTGTATTTACTCAATAAAAAATTTTATTTCCCCAAGAGCACATAGAGTGCTACATCATACATATCTTTTTATTTCAAAACATTCTGATTGCATCACCTTAAATCGATTTGAAACAATTCAAATAGCAGAAGGATAATAAGAAGCAAAAAACATAGTAATTTAAGATGAGGGCAAAACCAACTTGAATTTGCTAGCTCCCAGAAAAAACACTGAATAAGAATTTTCTTGCACTCAAAAAAAAAAATCTATCAAGAAAGCCAGGAGATAAGGGCATTGTAGACCACAGCTTGTAACACTAAGCTGTGCATTGGAAAGTCAGTTTTGTACACTAAGTTTACTCCTCTGTGACCCCAGTGTCTTTTATCATTTTTTAAAAAATCTTTTTATTTTTCAACATAGCTTGGTCAGTGTCAGGAATAGGTATGAAACACACCTTTTAAAATATGTCAGGCACTCCCTAAGTAAGTAAACTGAGTTTCTATTTCATACTTTGGCTGTATTAGATACTTTATATCCATTATCTCATTTATGTAACATACTTTTTATCATTAAGTTTGTTGATACAATTTAGATATACATAATGGTCACATTCATTGAACGCAATTTGCACCTGCACAGATTATATTTTGATTCATATTTTTTCCCACTCTCCTCCTCTCCATTCTATTCCTTTTCCCCTTCTTATTTACAAGATCTTTGTTTCCATCTTATCTTTCTTTTCTCTTTTTTTCTTTTCCCTTCCTTTCTTTCCCTTCTCCCTCCTTCCTTGGGTCTCTTACCATTTGAACATTTTCTTCCTATTTCATAATATCTATTACACATTCTGGTCCTTTTTCACACTTTTAGTCTTTCACACCAGAGAAAAAATCTGATATTTACACAAGTGTGTCCAATTTATTTCACTTGAAAGTATGGTCTCAAGGTCCATCCATTTAGCTATAAATGTCTCAAGTTTATTCTTCTTGATGGCAGAGTAGTACTCCATTGTATAAAAAACCCCTCCTCTTCTTTATCCATTCATTGGTTGATGGGTATTTGGATTATTTCCAAGATTTAGCTATTATAAACTGGGCTACTATGAACATGAGTGTGCATATATCACTGTGGTGTGATGCTTTGAATTCTTTCAGGAAGATATCGAGAAGGGGGATAGCTGGGTCAAATGGGACCTCTAGTCCTAGTTTTTTGAGAAATATTCACACTGACTTCCACAGTAGTTACACCAGTCTACACTCCCATCAACACTGGAATAGGGTTTGTTTTTCTCCACAAATCTACCAGTATTTGTTATTGGTTGATTTCTTGATAATAGCCAGTCTTTTTGGAGTGAGATGGACTCTCAGAGAGCAACATAATTTTTCCAATAGATAGTATTTTGTCATGTTTCACATATCTTTTCAGCTTCTAAAATTCTAATTTTATTTCACTACTTTATTTTCAGTTTTTTCATAAAATTTGGCATTATTATCCATTTTCTGTATGATTCGTTACCATTTTTAAAGGCATATTCTTTACTAACTTAAATTCCTAGACAGAAACAGAAAATGAAGAAACTAAAATACTCAGTCATGTACATATATACTGTCAAATGTATATTACTGATGTTTATCTAATTTGTTGTTGAATCACTTAAGAGTTATTCATGCAATGTCTATCCAATACTTTTATTTCTCTACTTATGTGATTTTAAATTTTATATTCATAAGTAGGATAAGCATCTCAAAGCCATATTATATTTGTTTGTTTGTCCTTGGCCATTAAACATTTTACCAGTCCCTCTGCACCAAAATCCCTACACTCAGACCCCATCCTCAGTGAGGACTACTCCACAGCAAACCAACCACCCACTTCTTTCCCTCATCCGGCTCGTTTCAGCTTTCATACCAAGAGTAGTTACTACCCTTAGGTTACTGACCTTGCATGTTTTCAATAAACTTGCAATTCTCACTTTCCATATGATATTCTTCACTGCAGGACTGAATTACAGACTTTCCTTCATTTCAGCTAAATTCCAAATACAGTTAACTAAATTCTTAAATCATTTTTGTACCCAAGAGAACAGTAAATACAAACAAACAAACAACCCACAAAAACAAGACCAGTCATTATTGGCTCAAGTTTATGTCAATCACGAGGGTAAAAGCAATTACTTGCTTACTGGGAAAAACAACAACCATAGCCCAAACATAAGCTGAATAGTTCATGTTAATGCCTCACAATTTTAGACTTCATCCTGTGGCTTCCAGTAATTCCTCCTCTTCCTTCCCTACTCCTCCTCCTATTTCTCCTCCTCTCTAATGCATATGGCTTCATGATACCAACATAAGTCATCAACAGAATTTCCTCTAATAGTTGTATATGCTTCTTCCGTTCCTGGCTTTATTAATCAACTTCTCCTGCAATATTCTTCCTCTCTATATAACTGATTCTAATTCAGCTTCTTTTCTTAAATGAATTGAACTTTTGTCTTTTGTCTCATTTTCATTCTAATCTTATACAAAATATGGTTTACTCATCTTCCTTGGTTAATAAGAATCCATTAAAGATACAAATAAGGAATATTATTAAGTGCTAGATACTGAGCAATTTGTTCTAGGGTTTTTCCTGGTGGAAATTTGAATTAAAACTTCCATACTCTGTGCATGTATGCCTCATTCCGTTGAAGATTGCTCCTTTGTCAGAATGTAAGATACATTTGTTCCCTTAAATTAAATTCCTGTTCTCTGACATGTCTCCTGCCACTCTACTCCCGACCTAACACAACTAGCTGCTGTCGGTTTTATGGACAATACTGCCCTCTGGTGGCTGGAAATTTTCAAATTGGCAGCTTGTGCCCGTAAAAATGTATATATTGTCTTTACATAGAATTAAAACTCACTAGTAAAAGTTTGTTTTGAACAGAATTTAAATATATAAAACTTAAATTTACGTAATTAGTGAAAAAAATTTTAAATAATGGCTATTTTTTTTTCAAGTAGGGTAATGGTGTAGCACAAACTGACTGAATTGTAAAACTGAGAAAAACGTAGTGGAAAATGTTTTGTTCTCTATGAAGAAAACTCCAGGCACAGAGTTTCAAATGATTTATCCACACACAAAAAAATGACATAAGTGCTATATCATGAACCTAATAACCTAATAAAAATAAATGTGATGTGATACTTGGAAACGATTCTTTTGATTTTCTTTTTCATCTTTAATTCTCCCTATAAATCTCTAATATGTATATGCGTTTAAAGGAAGAATAAAGGAAAACAATAAGGAGAGTAAAAAGCTGATGATGAAATTTTAGACTGAGGTATTCACAATTGAAATTTTGCTTTATTCTATTAATCTGTTATTTTGATGAAACAAGTAAAACAACAATGTAACTTAAAAATTCAAACTCTCACAGTAATAAGAATGCAATTTGGATTATGAATGTATAATTAGAGAAATAATCTTCATAAAAATTATACAAATGAGCATTTAAAATTTTTATCAAACAGGGCGCGTTTAACAAAAAAAAACTAACAAATTTTATATTAAAAATGTAATTGTTTAGTGAGACTACTGGTTGTTCTTTTTCATTTGTTACCCTAACATGCCCCCTTGTGACTGACAAAAAGAATCTTAATTTATGCCAAATTATACCTAACTGTGGCCATGGAAGCAGTGATTACTTATATGTAAGCATATATTGCTCATTGAATCATTGGCTAAAACATTATGTACTATACAGATTTATCAAAAACATACTCAACCAAAACAAAACAAACCTTAAATTACACGAATTAACAAGAAAGGTCCATGTATTTCTGAAGTCAATATCACATGCCAAATTTGACAAAATGAACTTTTCTTCACTTTTAACTACAGAGGGCTACTGTAAGCATGATAAATATCTTTTAAAAAATTCATATAGCAAATAGTTTGAACATAAATAGGACATAATTATTGGTTGAACACTTGTTGAATCAATTCTTAAATTGATTTTTTGATATTTTAACTTCAGGAGCTTAAAAAAGTTTTATCATTTTCAAAAGACTATGTTTTTTGATACTCTTAAAGTTGGGCAGAAACATTTATTGAAGAAAGGAAGGAGTTTATTAAACTACGTCAGTTTACTGTTCTAGATTCTACATCCCCGCATCTGAGAGTGTCCCTACTGTGAAGGTGCGGAGTTAATATTTCACTGTGATAACTACTACAGAACATTTAGTCCACAGAGTCCTGAGCGATGGACCAGTAGTTCACAAGACAAGCCTGCAGGAGGCAAAGATCAATTTAAAAGCACAATATTTATTTAAATTTTAAGAATGGCTAAAATTTTAATACTTTTAAATTTGAGAAATTTTTAGGAAACAACAAAAATTATAATTACTCACAAAAATAAAGTATAAATTAAGGTGTCACTAATGCAACCAAAAAAAAGAGAAAGTTCTACAGTTTTGAAAATGAAAATGACTAGTAATTTATAAATGGTTACTCAGCAGTGTACCACTAGATACCAGTTATTCCTTGTAAATCAAAGAATTTCAGCTATTTTTATTTCTATTTTTAAGTTCAACTAGGCATAAAAAGTTTTCAGTACTATAGAATTCTGCTGAATTACTGATTTAATAAATAGAAAAATCATATGGATTAAAAGTAATTTTTGAATATTATTTGTTTTATATTATATTATGAAATAGAATTCCAGGGTAAATCTAGCTTTATTTTGTGATGAAAAAAGTACATCTTTTCAAAAAGTTCTATGACTTATACTGAGCCTATGAGTTCATCCCTTTATAAAAGTGAGAAGTGGAAAGTTATCTGCAATACATAAATAATTTTAAATAGTTTTAGGTAAAAAGATATAGAATAATAACTTGATATTACTTGCCCACAGTTTCATAAACTCTTCCACATATTAAGTAACTATATTAAAATAATTAGTTGTCCAAAGAAAGACAAATGATTCAAAGAACAGCTAGGCAATGAGGATAGAAGAAAAGCCCCTTGTGAATATTTTCCAAATTCTTCCAAATTGTAAAATACACAAATTGTGATGTTTTCCAAGGTGTCAATTTGTGAAATATTCTTAACTGAAATCTATGAAACTGATAAATGTATATAGTTTATTGAATAATCAAGCAATTTAAAAATCACACAAAGGAATAAGCACACAAAGCAGATCCTCTTTAGAATCAACATTCTCCTAAATGAACTAGTTTAGAAACAAATTAGACAATAATTCTCAGTGCACAATAGATAGAATAATTAAATGCAAACTGGGTAAAAAAAGAGCAGAAATAACATAAAGAACATTTAAGAGTGCAATAAATCATTCAATATAATGGCATAATTTTCTCGCTTACTCTTTCAATCACTACCTTAGACATTCATCTGTGCATTCATTTGTGTTCTTATGAAATATAATTTGGAAAATATATTTTTAAAGAATTTATTTTCGGTGTGACAACAATTTTTTTAGTCAAAGACCCTTAATTACTCACCTAACTTTTTCTTTAATGTCTTTGATTTCATTTTCTGTGCCCTCTTCAGCATTTGCTGAGCAGTAGAAATATCCTTAAAACCCCTATTAAAAGATAAATTTAATAAAGGCAAAAATACAGACCATATTCAGTTATGTATATATATAAATACACATGTGAATTATATCATACCAAAATAAATTTGTATTTAGTGCATTAAAGTTGTAATTTAACCAGATGCTTAGTTTCTTAAAAACTAAAAGAAAAGCATTCTTGAATCTTGAAAAATATATGCCTTGTATATTTATGTCTTTTAACTTCTTATTGTTTTTAGGGTAAAATAGACCACATACCATTCTTCTGAGATTTTTTCTTCTTTTTCAGATTTTAGCAAACTCTTTCTACTGATCTTTGATTCAGGTGTCCAGGATAACGTTCTATTTTCTGATCTGCCAACGTAAATAAATGACTTTTAACTGAATCAACACATGAATATCAGCACTGTTTAAAGCTACAAGCTGTTTATGTTGTTGCAAACTTGGAAATAAAATCCATTTAAGTTACAGGAAAGCTTTATCTTGACAAGTAATAAAAGTCTGCCATTAATTTAAATTGTTTACATTTCAATTACTTGAAGCATATTTCAACCCCTTTGCAAAAGCAGTACAGCACTGGATATTTTATTCCAACCCTTATCTCTACCTATAAGGCAGTAAATATCCACTTGTTTACAACAATTAATTACATTATTTCACTAAAAAGTTTGATGCACCTCACACACCTTTCTTTCACTAAAATCTCAAAGTCATGTTTTAAACATTAAATGTTGCATCTTCAAAACAAGTAAACTCACATCTATTTTTATTAATTGTACTATTTGGGGGAGGAATATCATGTTTTTGTCATTCATAAGCTGATATCCTAAGAAAAGTCCTTTAGCTTACCTGCTATGTAACTGTGTGTGTTCTGATGAAAACAAATTTTCTTTCTCATTATATAGCCATGCTTGTGCTGGATGGCTTGGTAAGTCAAGTGAAGTATTATCATATTTCAAGGTTCCAGGGACCTTTTCCAAAAAAATCTAAATATATGTAAATAAGTTAGAATATTCTAGCATTTATATTTTTACATGCATATTACTAAATAGCCTCAAAAGTGACTCATTATAAAATTAAAAACTTAATAAATTAAAATTTTTGGAATAAAGAAACATATCCTTTGTTACAATGGTGAAGAACATGCTTTGTGGCATAGCTCACATACACTATATACAGAAATGATTAACTGAAAAGATCTTAAAAATCTCAGAAAACAAAAACTTCAAAGATTATCAAATAAATAACAGATATTGCAGTCCATTGACCTCTGACTGAGAATCTTCAGCTGCTGCCCTCTTATTGCATGTTTTTGTATTTTTAAAGTGCTGTCAACTAGTGATTTTAGTCTACTGCCAAATATGCAGCTGCAGCATATCATTTTCTTTCTTTCTTTCTTTCTTTTTTTTTTTTTTGCTACTGTGAAATAGTGTTGAAAGAAATCCAAAATAAAGAAAAAAATTAGGAGCAAATGAAAGAAAAGCTATATGAAAAATTACATCTGGGAACAAGGAGGAAGTCAAAGGCTTCTAAAAGTAATTATGTTTTTCAAGTCAATAAATTGTATTATTAATCACTGCAGCATACCATAACCCAAAGAAATGAGCAAAGATGGAGCACTCAGAAGTTTCCATGACATGTTACCTTTGGCCGGTGCAGCTGGTTTGAGAGCAGCAGTGTTTGCGAAGGGAAGCGAACAGAATCTAAAGCTAGCCATTCTCTCTCTAAGGCAGCCTGTACAAACAACAGTCCAATGTACAAAATTTAGTTCGGGTAACTTTTAGACAGTTTCCTTTAAATTGTCTTATATACTATCAATGTTGACAAAGTATAACAAAATTTTCATTTACAAGAAATTTCCTACTTGCTAGAGCATCTGTTCAATGCAAACAAACACACAAAATAGTAGGACAGGGCTTTCATACCCAAGCTTTGGATGAAGTGAAAACTTGAATTTTGAGTGCTCTAAAAAATGAGTTACAGATTTTTCCGTGTCTTGAACTGTTTGTTTATAACTATGACTCTGAGCCAAATCTAGGTGTAATCAAGGAAATCATCCTTTGGCTCTTCACATGCAAATTACAGTATTTTTTCTAGCGAAGATTAATATTGAAAATTCACACTAGTATCAGATTTTCTTTAAGCACCGCACATAGGTCAGCTTTTATTTTTTTCTGCAAAATTTCAGAAATTTTCTGTATGAATGGAAAACAATTTTATAGCAATGACTATTCTCTATTTCAACCGTTTGAAAAAATGTTTATACATCTTAAATTTTGAATTTTTTATTTTAAATCTCCTCTCCACCATGAAAGATCTTTGATTCATTTATAGAATTTCCAAATTTATTGTCTTTCTATAATAAAAGTGTACTAATTATAATAATGTTATATATTTAAAATTCAGTCATTTGACCTGAGCAGAGTAGCACATGCCTGTAACTCCAGCACTCTGGGAGGCTGAGGAACAAAGATTGCAGGTTAGACCCAGCTTGACCAATTTGCAACTTAGTGAGACTCTGTTTCAAAAAGGGGGAGGGTTAATATAGCTTATAGTGAAGACCCTGAGTTCAATCTCCAGTAGTGAAAAAGGAAAAAAGAAGCAAAATTATACGATTTTCATTGGATTAGAGCTTAGAATAAACTTTTGTGGGTCTATAATTTTTTATCTTTACAAAAACAAGATAATCAGAAAAATTATTAATTTGTTTTTTTAAAAAATGTATAAAATGAATAAATATATTTTAACTTAAAATTAGAGTGAATCGTATTCTGAGGAGATGCAAAGTTTCCATCAGTGTTAAGTGTATAATTTCAGTCTTTTAACTGCTTTTTGAAATACCTGGGAGAGATACAGCTAAGACATTCTGACTATTGACAAGCAGTACAACAGACATTTATTTACTGATGGCATTTAGTTTTAGGAAATTTCATCAAGTTAATGTTATTTGAATATTAAGCAAATAAGGCACCTTTACACAATTGTTAAGTATTTTGTCAGATTCCTTTAAGGTAGGGACGATTCCTTTAAGATTCCTTTATTGCATCTATATTACAGATATATCTAGTTCAAAGATACATATCTGCTTTAAAGATTGTTATTTGTCAGGCAGGAGGAATGAGTTCAAAAGATCTATTGTATAACATTGCAACCATAGTTCATAACTGTACAATACTCTTGAAATTTGCCAAGAGTAGTTCTAAGTATTCTCACCTCAAAATATAAATATGAGTCAATGTACTGTGTATGACAATATGCTTGGATTATGTACTGTGTATGACAATAAGCTTGAATTATCCATTCCAAAATGTATACATATTTTAATTATACTGTACACAATACATAGCTTTATCAACTGAAAATGTAAAATGTTAATATTTCTTAATACAATATTATTGAAAAAAGAAAGAGAGAAAGGTGCTCTCTCAGGAGAGCCATTAGTGTTCCTCCTCATCATTACAGAGAAATACAAAGTTGGGAAATGGCTGTGTAGAAATAGTGGTTATACTTCAGGGGTGGGGGGCACTACAATAAAAAGTAAGAGACTGTGTCAGATTTTTAAATGAAAGAGTTGACATGAAGGACACTTGCTTTGATGCATATGGGAAAATTAATTAAAAAGATATTATATTTTATTTGGGATATATTTAAGCTGCTATGTTAACTACTGGTTAAATCATGCCAGGAATTCAGTAAACTCCCATTGACAAAATGGTTTGTTTTGCTTATGATGGGTAATAAATAAATTTGATGAGGGATATGTTAAAAAAGAATTTCTATTTCATGCAAAATTGCAAATGGGATTCAGGACTCCGAATTCTAAATTTTTTTGAATGACAAATAAATGAAAATCCAGATTCTCTAGGGAGAATCAAGGGCCACCAGCCATCAACTATAATTGGATTAGTATTCTCAATCTGATGCAAGGGGCTGAAATGAACAGAAGCTGTGAATAGATAAGGAGAGGATATCACAAAAGGCAATGGGCCACCGGACAACTGGTTGTGGCAAAGGACCAGTATCCTCAGGCAAGGAGCCTGACTTTTACTCTGATTTTTATATGGGCAATTACTTTTTTTTCCCTGAAACACCTGGCAAGCCATCTCTTTTTTATGTTCCCTTAAAATCCAGCTGTTTTCTTCCAATAGTAGGACAAGGTCCCCCACAGCACATTGACCTCTTTGTCTTATTGTACAGATGTGAAAGACTTGTTCTTGAAAAGCCTACATAAATTTTGGGAAAAAAAATTACTTTTTAAAAAAAGTGGTATTTAGAAGTTACAGAACACTGAAAATACTATTTCTTATTTGAATATAAGGCCACAAATTTTTATAGAATTCCAGAATAATTCCTTAACCATTCTCTATATTTCCAGAAGTACAAAAATGAGATTTAATAGAAAGTGTTAAAGATGCTTTTAGTAGTTGTTAATCACAACCAAAATGTATTACCAAATCTGATTTATATGAAGACAAGCTTATTAATGTCAAGTATATTTGGTATTACCTAGTACATTAAGACAAATAAAATTTCAAAATATTAAGAGGAATTGGCCAAGAGTTATAAACATAAAACTGTCTACAGAATATATATTAATATGTCATGTCCAACACTGAAAATTTATACAAATTTTAGTTATTTTTAAGAAAGCCTTCATTTGGATATCCTTTAGCTCTAAAAAGCATTCTGGAACTAAAGAACTACTATCATATTTGCTTATATGTTGAAAATGAACTTGGATACACTGTAACTGTATGTTCATATCTGAACATTTGCTCAGATATACATATATTTGGCTTTTGATCACAGAAGAAATTATTCTGCTTTAATTCAACTTTGAGAGACTAGAAAATAAGACTATTCAAAAATAGATGCTAATATGTGTGTATAAATGCAAAAAATTTCATGATATCTAATATTGCCAATGTAGATCACTATGCCATATAAAATTACTCATGTTATTTTAGGTATTTATTATCTAAATATTATAAATATTTTATGAAAAAGTAACAAAACTTCTCTCTAATGATTGAGATTTAGGCTTGCTAAAATTGTTGCTCAAGTTTTTGTCTAGAGAATGTAATTTAATGTGGGCTCAAGAATCAAGAAAATGTCTTACTCATCATTATTTCAGAAGTTCATTATGTCTATTACATATAAAAGATACTTAATGAGAGAAGACAATTCTCCATGGGTCTCCCACATTTGCAGGTTCTGTGACAGGTGTTTGCCTAGCTCTTCAAGGGTGTTTGCATAGCTATTAGCCTGAGAAGCCAGAAAAATATTTCCCTTCATCACAAAGGGCACTATCCTACCAAGACTCAGGGCTATGGAGGCACAGATTCAGTGAATGAGACTTGGACAAGGCTCACAGTGGAGGATGAAACTAAAGTCACATTGTCGATATGGTCCTTTAAGCCAATTCAGTGTACAAAATTCTGGGGCCTGTTTGTCACCTTTTGGGACTACACAGGTAAATGTACAGTGTGGAGTCTCTTCTGTAGTCAAGGAGAAACTTTTGGCTCTACAACTATAAAAGGCGCTCCCACATCTATATAACCCGAAACTCAATTCAAGTGCCTGTGTCTGAGGTTTTTCATCAGTGGGAACCTCTGACGATGAAGCAGCTTTTGCCTAGGCACATCCTTTGTGGTTTTGGACTCATGGTCTTTCTGACACAACAACTAGGTGCACTCTTTTTGAAAAGCAGTCATTAACTTCCTAGTAGACTTTTTTGGAAACTAAATCAGTAGCCCTTAGAGGCCTTGTGATTCTGACTTGATATTAATAGTTTTGGATTCAATGACTGATAAGGGAGGAAGGACTTTAACAGCTTCCCTGGTCAAAAGGAAAGGGTATACTAAAAGGTAGAGCCAGTCTGGCCTCAGAGATAGGCCAGCTTTCATGAAAGACTGGCAAGTATGCTACTCAGGGAAACTGTATTTCAACTTCGCTGCCTGAACGAAAACTGTTGGTTTGAAGGACTTCAACTAGCCCAGGATGCTCTGAATTCTTGCAATCTTTCAGGGCTGGTACAAGTCTACTGAAATGCAACTTTCTCTTAGGCTGTAGGGCTTACAAATAACAAATCACAGCTGTTTGTAGAATTAAAGATGCTCATAAGTGCTCATAAGTGGAGTCAAGTCATTGATTGGGCTTTTTTTTAAAGCAAATGCTATTAATGTGTGCCAGATTTATGACACTTAAAAAATGTACCCTTGTGTCTTGCAGTGGAGAAGATTCTATTGAGTCAACCTTTCCCCTTGCCTCCTTTGGACTACAGTATAACCTCAATCTCTTATTCCTGTTGACCCCTTTCAGTTAGCAGTCAACTGACTTTGGTCATCCAATTACAGTCCTTGAATTTAGTCTGTATAATTTTTCAGGTTCTAGGCTACTTGAGTGTTAGAGCTTTGTACTTTTTTTCACAAAACTACTTAACATTGAACTAACAGTCAGACTCTACCTCTTTTATCTCATCTATATACCTTGATAAGGCAATTCAGTCAGTGAATGTGGCTCCCCAGGAAAGGATAAGCCACTTCTAAGAGAATGATCAAGAAAAAAATGCATAGAAAGTAGTCTATAACAGTTTTGACAACTTGGGATTCTATTCAGACCATTGTTGGGAATGGTGAGTATTTCTCTTCTCTAAAAGCAAGCACAGGGCCAGGGATTTAGCTCAGTCATTCTGCCACCTGTCTCACAAGCAGAAGGTCCCAAGTTCGATCCCT